ACATGCCTATAGCAAAGAAGCAGTTCGCAGTTCAGGATTTCTTTAAAAGGTCTGATCAGCAGTAAATGGCCAATAAACTTGTGGACCTTACTCCTCTGCTTTCTGTTCATTGTGTACAGTTACGTTTTAAAAACAATGAAAAAATGTTTAATGTGATTTAATTAATGCCTAATCATAATGTGTGGTGTCATCTCACCCAGAGTCATCTATCTGGGATTTTGTGATAATTCAAACTTCTTGATAATTCAAACAAAATTCAGAGGACCCTACGAGTTTGAATGAACAAGAGTTGACTGTACCACGTGGCCATGTAGCAGGCCTAAATGAAAAAAAGAACATGCTTCATACTGTCATTAATTATACAGCTTCTATAGCTGTGTACTAACATGTTGACATTGCTACACATACTTTCATTTTCAATATATATAGCTGATATAGTTGTATAATTGTGCCTTACAAGCAGACTATTAAGGTGAAATGCGTGCCAGACCTAGTCGTATTAGCCACTGCTCTGACAAGCTTGATATGCGACTGATCACATTTAGCACTTTCATCAACATTGGCTTTGTTTGTCTCAACAAGAATTTTAAATATTAATTCATATAGCTTATTTGATTTTTAATATATCAATGCTGGCCAGTCTCACAAAATATGAAAGCAGTGCTTACTTTGTGTTCAAAGACTATTAATCTTCCTAATTATCATTTTTGCAAGTGATTATTGTATATGCAATATATGTAATGAATAATATGTAACACCAATGACTCCAATAGCTGTTCCAGGCTAGCATTTTTTCTGCTCCAGGAACAATCGAGGCTGCTCCAAAAATCAAAATGTCACTTTCATGATTGTAAGAATGCATAAGCGGCTAAAGTTTCATCAAGATTTGCTGAGAAATAAAGAAATGCAGTGGAACGTCCCCCGGTTTCATCACAACTCGCATTGTATGATGAATGATGGTTTGGTCCTGATGAAATCCGCCTAGAACTAATGTATTAGAACCATGGTTATACGACAGAATTTTACACCAACCTCGTATTTTAGGACGATTTTAGCGATTCCGCCCAATAGAAAAAAAACTGCTTCTACTCGCATGCTGACCTATATTCACAAGTGCGAATTAAAAAATTACTTTTCCCTAGGTTCAAGTTTAAAAAAGTAGAGAGTAGAACGATATATCTTGGAATAGAAAATTTATTCTCCTGGCAGCTCATGCGCTTTTGCATATGCCTCGATTGCGTACATATCCAGGGTCGTTACTTTGACAAGCTCTATCCACCCGCAGTAGCTTCAGCGGGCCGAAAATCTCATCTCTGGGATTTGGATATTTTCACGTTCTCGGTCTGTGAAAAACTTTTCCTGGTCGTAATACTGCTAATCTCTTGCCTTGGTTTGTGGCACTCGTAGTCGCAGGCTTTGAGCACACAAAAGAACCCGATGCAGCTGTCTTCATCGTGCAAAAGAGCTTTCATTTGACGTGTATGTTCAAATTAACAGCGGGACGTCACCAGCTGCACTTCACAAGGCAACAAATTACAATGCGCACAGCTCAGTCGCGCACAAAGGCATCTTACACAAACTTTTGCTCTGTCGCCATTATGTGATGGTGATGATGCTGTGTCTGGCTCTTCGAGGGGAGGCTGTGGCAAATGAGGTTTCAGTTTCGTTGTCACGTGCAGGCAATTGATGAACTTGATTTTTTAAGCTTGAGAATAAAAATTCGGTCACACCTACCTCAGAAAATGCTGCCATTTGCAAAATTAATCTACCTTCCTTGGAGAAGCACAAGGTTATGCTGTATGCTGTTCAGACGGTCTGTACCCATTTTTTGGACAAGGCTGAGTGTACGTGTCTATTGTGCACGAGGAAATACCGTGGCGCCATCGTGCGGAGGCGTCGTTATGACATCCTTGGTTGGATTGCTTTGCCGCCCTCTCACGTGCGGCCCACACCCGCTTTCACGTCTCCTTTTTTTGTTATTATTTTCTTGTACTTTACTCAATGAAATCAGTAAAATACTGCTGCAGATTCTTCTCTGACTGTATGAAGTGTCACGTCTCCTTTTTTTGTTATTATTTTCTTGTACTTTACTCAATGAAATCGGTAAAATACTGCTGCAGATTCTTCTCTGACTGTATGAAGTGCTAAATAACTGCCCCGGAAAAGTTTTACGCTTCTCATAATGCCTGACTGCTGGTGTCATCTGCGGTGGCCATCTGAATAAAAACCACCGGGGCCGAGCGCATCGCCTCTGCAAAAGGTGGCAATTTATTCCGTGTTGAATTGAAATATCAAATGGTTATAAAAGGACACTGAAGTCAAATAACAATTTATGTCAGAGTGAAAGCTCAATGTATGACATCTAAAACGACAATATTATCAACAAGTGCCCTACTTACCGCGAAAACAAGGTAAATTCACAAGAACACAAGCGCCGCAGTAGGACATTTTCAAAATGATCCTAATGACATCAGACGGACTGCCTACAATTAACCACTAGTAATCGATCTAACTGTACTAAATAAAAAGCCTTCCGTACATCAAGAGACACAAGAAAATGCTGTTTGTTCATTTCTGTTTGATTCATGGAAAAAAGAACTGCCAGACGTTATAATGGGGAATGGCGTGAGTGGTTAAAGAATTCTATTTTCGTGTGGTTACATGGGACAGGTGGTGCCATCTAACGGGGCGCAGCTGAAACAAAGCATCTGCAATCTCGAAGCCAATGGCGGGAAATTGATTAATGGCCGTTGTTGCTGCTGTGGCTCCCGCTGCTTTCGGTCTGCTGCTACTAACGCAGTAAAACCGGGCAACATTGTGCACAGCAACAGTGATGTGAATCGGTCAGGTCGGTCCACTTCTTGAAGCGGGTAATTGAAGTGCGCTAACCCGATGCGGACTACTAAAACATTACTTTATTTCAAAATAGGCCATTCCTTGGCACAAAAGTAACGCTACGAGGTTTCTGGATCGCTATTTCAACAATAACCATAGACTTTATAGTTGTCTTTAGTGTCCCTTTAACAGTAAAGAAACCTTATCCTTGCTGCAAGAAATGCACGCAACTATGCTACTTCATTCATTGTAGGTTTGAGTCTAAAGAGGGTCTGCGGTTGACATGACAAGCATGCCCAGATTACATTTTTGTTTAGCATACATAGCCCTATGAAGCACAGTGCAAGCGGATTCCGTGCTATGTGGGAAGCAACACAGCATTCTTACAGCCGCACGCAGCTGCAATTTTTCTGTTATTATTGTAGGCAAATGTGCAAACTACAATTGCGTGTGCCTTATTCAGAGTTGCAACTCTTCTCTGCGGCACGGTCCTAATATTTATTGTGCAAAATATTTAAGGTGGTCACACGTTGCTCATTCAATCGCCATCGAGCCACACATGGGTGAAAATTATGAATGATTGGTTCAGTTTCAGAGCTTCTATAAAGGGGTACAGTGATAAAAAAAATGCGATCAGCCATCCATATCATTTTGCGCCCTTGAATGTGTGCATGCTGCGAGGTCTTGCGCACCGTGATATAAACATTTTCATGTTCCAGTATAATTGCCAATGTCCAATTCTTGTTCCTTTTTTTTACAGCTTCCTTCATAAGCTGTGTTATACTTCACGGCAGCTCCTAGAAGATGAATCAGTTGTCGAAGCTGACCACGTTCTGATCAAAACAACATTGTTAGGAGGTGACAGTGGCTATGAGCCACTTCTATAAACGTAATCTATAAACAAGGAATTAAACCCGTGAGCCGAAGTCTTGGATGGCTGGGGCGTTGGCAGAAGTGTTTTTCGGAAGGGGCATCATTTTGATTAAAGTTGGGCCCAGGCATGCAGAGGTGGTTGGGCCCAGGAAAGTCATTGCATGGTTACACTGATACACCTGGCTATAATCTATAATCTTCAAAAAATATCGCTGAAAATGATCATAGGAGCCAATTTTCAGATTGGTTATGACACTATAGGTACTTAAAAACTTCTTTGAATTGATGTGGTGTGACCAAAAAAGCACCAGGTAATGCTGCATAAGGTTTTCTCAACTTTCTGTGGGATTGGAAAATTGACGAACCCTTGAAAGACACATAAACAAGAAAAGTTTGTACAATCACACACGCTGGGACTAGTAACAGTTTAATGGAGTAGTAGCTACTTGGAAAGAACCTTATGACACGCGTGTGCCGTACATGATAACGTAGAAGAGAGAGTGGTGGACATGTGACGAAGCAGAACCAAATCATCCCATGCACATTAAAAAACTGCAGATAAAAGGGCGGTGCATGACTCCTTCAGCACTCAAATCTCATCATAACAAAGTTGAATCTTACACGAAAATAAGGTCAATATATTCGAAAATATGCTACAAAAGTTTATTTCTAGCACTATATTTATTACAAGACTATTTTTTATTTACTTTATTATAACCAATGTTTCGTTATATTCAGGTTCATGATATTAAGGTTTGCGAATAATTTGATCTCTGTAAAAATGTAAAAACGATGCCCCCAGCATTGACACATGTGGCCCACACAATGGATTTTTGTTTTTTGGTTTGTTATTGCAGAAAATTTAGCCTGCATTGCACCTGTATGTGGGCATTGACTAAAAAAAAAATGTGGTCATATTGCAATAGTGTTCCTTAAAATGTGGCTTTCGAGAGGCATGCTTAGTACAGCATGCTTTGAGCTTGGACTGCGGCTTGTGCCCTTGGGGAGCACAAGGGCGCTGTGCGGCCTCCATGTGCTAGCTGAAGCAAAGGGACAGAGTGTTCGCCTTGGCAGTCAAACTTGTCTCTTGGAGGCTTGGTAGCAGGACTTAAATTTCTTCTAATATGTCCTATGATGAGCCCATTTGAACATACTATTGATGAAAGGAACCTCAAATGGCACCTTAGGTCTTTCAGTGCTTTACTGACATTTGGGAATTCCGTCGATGGCATGACTTCTATGGACAAAAATGATTTCAATTGTTCTTCTTGCTACACATCTATCTGTTATAGGCTCCTAGCCCAGATTCAGGCCGTGGAAGCAGTGCTTCGCCATCAAGCCCTGATTCAGGCCGTGGAAGCAGTGCTTCGCCATCAAGCCCCGATTCAGGCCGTGGGAGCAGTGCTTCATCGTCAAGCTCCGATTCAGGGAGATCAAGCGGTGCGTCATTGTCGCCCATAGCGGAGTCGCCTGTGCCGCTGATGGGCCGTGGAGCCATGCTTCGCCAGATGACCCCAAGTTGGGCAGAATCGCAGACCGAGCAGGCAGCAGCCAGAACAGGTAAAGTACTGCATAGTCATTCCTCTGTGCAGTTGGTGCTTTTTAAGTGTTTTTTGATAGTGATTGTTAACCGAAGGCCAATAGGCTTTTTCCGCTAATTTAAGAAAAGTAAAAAACTGGAAGGAATTCTTGCAGGTACGGTAGACTCGCAATTATTGAAATTGAGGGTAACCCAGTATTTGTTTGATTTATCAGGTCCCATAAATACTACAGTCGAACCTCACACAACAAACGCAGCTTCAATCAAATTTCCGGTACAACGAAAAATGGGTTGCCTGTGATGCCGGCAACGAAGCCATAGACGGTGCGCTAGTTCGGAGCGCGGAAACGCGACATGCGGATTCTAAGAGAATCGAAATTCCTTTTTTCTGCTGCTAAGGCTCGGTACGTAGATGCTTGCGCCGGCGAAACTGTGCTGTCGGCTGCCACGAGTCCAGAATCCGACAAACCGTGTGTACCTGGAGCCGCGAATGCATCGAGCGTGTCCGAGATAGCTGGATCCAGCGCGTGCTTTGAATCGGTACCGTCTAGCGTGACACCGAGTGTTGCTAAGATCGCCATACCCAGCACTTCGTCTGCATTGGGGCCAATAGCGTGCATGGGCCGTCGACCCTTCATCTGAGGACGCATTTTCTAACTAAGGAAGAAATCGATGTGAATGCGAAACGCCGAGATGCCGTTTGCGCTGAACTCGAATCTACGCTAGTGACGCAGAAAAAATTTGAACTGATGCAGCCGGCTCTTGAAAAAGATGCCCTACGTCTGAAAAAAAAAAAAAATTTTAAATGGCACTTAGAGAAGATAGAAAAAAGATAAAGAAGAAAAAAGTGCACAAGGAGACTTCAACCTGCTCTGCTAGAGCTTTTCGAGGAAAACACACGTGCTGAACTTTCAAAGCCCGTTTTCATAAAATGGATTCTTTAGCTTCTTGTGGTGCTGAGAAAAGCGATTTCTCAAGAACGGCTTATCAGATTTGTGTGCTGTTTCTTTTATTCTGCTTTTCGGGTGATTTTGCCAGGGTGTAACAAGGTTCTTTTTTTTTTTTTGAAAATTGGTGCCATTAATTATTAATAAAGAAGTATTTTTTGATAAATGTCATACCTACTGGCTACATCAAATTCATAGTTGCATAAAATTTTTTTGGTGGGGAAATTGAAAAAACGGCTCTTTAGTGCCATAGGATATCTATCCAGGGATGACCACAAGAAATTTCAGCCTTCTGGTATGCCCTGGGATTTCTTCTGGCTCTTCTTGAGGCACACAAGTGAACCACCCAGTTAGACCTAAGTAACTCCCCCCCCCCCCCCCCCCCGAACCCCTGAACACAATTTCATGAAACTTTGCAGTTTTTCAAGTATTAATGTAGTGAACATACCCTAAAAATTTCGTGAAGATATCTTAAAAAATAAAAAAAGTTCGGTTTCCGGCGTAGCCCTTAAGGGGAGACAAGGGTTTCAAAAAGTTTTATTTATTATTTGCTTGAATTGAATAAAACTGAATACACTTACCGTATTTACTCGATTCTACCGCGCCCTCAATTGTAACGCACACCCGATTTCCATGACGAAAAAGAAAAAAAAGTAAGACATCATTTGCAACGCGCACCCATTTTTCTCGCTGGCTCGCATGATCACACCACTCAAAAAAACAACTCCTTTCGAAAGCGTCTTCCATTTAAATATGAGGTACGGGGGAAGCTTGTGCCCATCTGACGTGTAACAAGGCATTGCCGTCGCTGTAGTTTTACCATGGACCGATGTCAGCACGCGAACTTCCTTCGCCCCCTTTTTCTCGACGGTTGTGGTGCCAGGCATGTCGAAGTAAAGAGGCGTCTGATCGGCATTCCCGATTTGCCCAAGCAGGTAGCTGCTGTTGTGCCGCAAGTTTAGGACGAACCTCTGAAAACTGTGAAGCTTTTCATCGTACTCCTCCGCAAAACTTTTCGCATATGCCCGTTCATTTTCCAAGGGAAAAGCCTTTCCTCTTCATGAAGTTGGTTAGCCAGCACCTGCTCGCTTTAAACTGGCTCCGCGTTAGACCTTTTTCTAAGGCTAATTGAGTAGCCCGCACTTCGAGCAGTTCTGTCGTCACGGGCCACTGTGCCGCTCGCTGCTCAAGCACATACTCGCCGAGCAGTTCTTCAATTTTGGGAAACTGGCCCTGCTGTGGTCCACTGAAGTCTTTGCGTTTTGTTTCCGCTAGTCCCGCCCGCACGTTCCGAACGACCGCGATGCGGCCCGATTTCCGTCCGTTTCTGCACACGCAATGACTTTTCTTTTAAAAGCGGCATCGTGGTGCTCTAGAGTTTTTGGAGTCGGCCCTTCCATGCCGACGATGCTAATGCACTACAAGATGACGAACTCCTCGGCACACGTACGAAAGAAACACATAGGCAGAAATGGCCGACGCGCGATGCTGACGCACGTAGGGGGCGGCCATTTTGGAAATGCCGATGGCAATAGAATGACCGTATTCATTTTTTTTTTCGTACTCGATTCTAACCCGCATGCGATTTATGAACTCGCTTAACCGGAAAAAAGGTGCTCGTTAGATTCGAGTAATTATAGTATTCAGTTTTTTCTGCAGATCCCAAATCTTTAAGTACTACTTAATCTTCGATAGCTGCATTAGAACAGAAGATAATGAATTTTTATAATGCATAATTAGCATATTTCTTATGAAGCTTTTCGGCAATTTCACTATGTCAGACAAAAACAAAGTATATATATCCAAATTGCCAGAGAGCTGGTCCAGCTGATGCTCATTTCATTGGGTGCAACAAACTTTAAATGTGAAATAAATGAATACAAACATCGGTGAAAAATTTCTGCAATATATTGTTTACAATCATCATGAATTACTATTTGGTAAAAATGATATAAAAGAACATGAATAGCATCATCGATCAGATCTATTCAATACGAACACATTGGTATCAAGCTTCTTATTGTGAGTCAATAAAAACATATACACACAAACCTAATTATAATGAAGTTGAAGGGGAGCCACAATTATTTCGTTATATTCATTATTTTGTTATATCGATTATAACAGTTTGTGGCCATGTATGCTCAGATGGGCGCACACCTATAAGCATGCAAAGAAGGAAACCACCTAGTGGCCCGATGTGCCGCTACGCGACCACGCGTGCGACGGAAAATAGACAGTCGAACGTCATTATTACGAACACGCTTAATTCAAACTTTTGGTTAATCTTAACTGACGCTGAGGTCCCATCAAAAGTATGTGTATTCCAATGGGCGAAAACGCCCTGTAATTTGAACGTGCAAGCATTTGCGACAGTTAATTCGAACATACCGCACTGCGAAAATGCTCTCAGCACCATGCCCGATTCCGCGGTGGCGCCTCTCAACGCCGCGCACGAAGAAGGAAAGAGAATAAAAGGAAAGACTGCGGCGTATCGTTCGCTCTCTCTCAAATGCCGATTTGCGACGTGCCTGTGCCACGCTTCTCCCTTTTCCGTCTCTGAATATAGAGACCCTTCTCCTTTCAAGGCCGCACGCGGAGAGAGAGAGGGAAAAAAAGCTGTCGCGGAGAGGCCTCTTTTCTCGATGCAGAGGGGAGCAGCGGAGACGCAGGGGGTAGCAGCGGAGACTACGGTCGGTTTTTCATAGACTATTTGATAGACTAATTTAGTTCGTTATATCCATCTACCGGTCAATTTTACTTCATTACGAGGTCTAAAATGCATGGTTCTCAATGGAGCTTTCAAGAAGAATTTCATTTATTTAATTATATCCATTATTTTGTTATATCCCATTACGTTATAACGAGGTTTGAGTGTACGTGTTATGTCTAAAAATATGAAACTAAGAAAAATGCATTTGAAGTTTGTTTCTCATAAATTTGTGGTATTGCATGTCACAGGAATCAATGGCACAACAATGTCACAGGAACCATGAAAAATTTGCTGTATTAGCATGCATAGTCCTTGGATATAGTATGAGAAAGCTGCTACCAAACACTTCACAAATGTATTTCAGCTTGTATGTGTACACTGCTCCTAAACATGGCATGCCTATGTGGTCTGTGCTGTCGCTTTTTGCACAAAGCTCAGGATCACAATTTGTTTACATCTGCCAAGGCGCGCTTCACTAGCATGGAATGCAGTGGCTCTAAGAGTTTAAAATGCCAAAAAGAACCTGTTCACGATGCGCCCACTTATAAAATGTCATTTGTGTACCACTGCGCTGTCATCTGATGTGACAACAACCAGCGCAAGAGGAAGAGATTGCTGAGCACTGCCTGTGAAGTTCACTGCGCATCGCGGGAATCGTGCCGGTGCGGTGAAATGTTTTGTGATTGCACAGATTTCCGTCCACACCGAAAAACAACTGAGCTCCGCCGCCTTAAGATATAATCGCAATCAGCAGGAAAAACTACGAGCCCTGTGAAGTGTAAGTATACTTAATGCGTTTATTCAAGCGCGACTCCAGCTGTTTCACTTTACAGCAGCGATTTGCGTGCAGTATGCCTGTTGTATGAGGCACAAAACTATTGCCATACTCTTTCGAAGGCCGCATGTCAATAATAAAATATTCGTATTACGACTCGTGCGTGCATGCACGCACCGCGCATGTTTAGTACAACTGCAACGGCCTACTATCGTGATGCGTGAATGGCGCAGAAAGCTTGACTTTCGTATCGGTCGAACTGTGACATGCCTTGACTGGCACTCGGTGAATCTACACTTACTTTCGGTCGGCGTCATCGTAGCATTTTAAAATGTTGTTCTGGGTGGCACTTTTGCAGCGCCTGTGTGTTCAGAGTGCCCAACAGGGCTGGCAATTGATACACATGCGGTGCATGAGTGTGAGTTCGAACCAGATTCTAGCGCTACGTTCACGCCGACTTGCAGCACAAATTCTGCCTTGTCACAGCGAAGGCATGCTGCAGTTCGACTGAGTCGAAAGCAACGCTCTCCGCTGTTCGTGTTCCTTTCAATTGCAATTATACGTACCTGATGAAGCTGCTTCCGT